GTCTGGATTTTATGGGGCTCTAAAAGGGGGGGGGGTTGATTTCCAGACTTCGTTTTTTTTTGTTTTTTTTTTTTGGCTCTGAGAAATAGAACTTGAAATGTGAAATTCAGATATCGTGGTGGATCTGACAGGAATGCTTCCGCGTCTGTCGGATGGCATTGTAGAGGCATCACGAGATATACATGGGGATGAATGTATCCCTATAGCCATTACTTGTTCATCCCCGTGGCTGTGTTCGTGGACACATTTTATTGCCACGGTACATCACTATGAAGACTTACGTGAAGGAGATCGTACCAACCCATGAATTCGGGTGCACAGCTGTTCTTCATTCTTTTATGTGCTATTTCAATTCATTTTAAATCAGAAAACGATGCATTCATGCAAATAAAAAAATCACTTTGTATTTTCCAAAAAACCATAAAATTGCGTCACACATCGTAGAATACTTCGCTAGTGGGTCCAGGCCCCAGGAGGGACCGAAATATTCTACATTCCCCCTATTTTTTTTTTTTTTGTGAGACATCCTCAGGCTACCAGGTGGAGTGGTAAGAGCATCACCACCTGGTAGCCCACCGCTGAATGCTCCGGTCTATTGGTGCGGAGCAGCACCTGCCGGAAAAAGCAGAACTAACAGAATGTACATTCCCCGTTTTGCGACCTGGTTCACTCGAGTTTCCCTCTTTTCCCTTCTTTTCAATTTCGATCACGATATGCCCAAAAAAGTACCTAACCTAAGGAGTGAGCTTGAGAGGGAGAGGGAGGGGGAGGGCAGCCACCCTGCTACAGATTGTGATCCCTGCTTTAGGGCCTCAGTCCTCGCCGCGCACGCACGGCCCCGAACCGGCAACGACAGCTGCAGACACTGATTTCACTACCTGTACCAGAGCGGTCAGGCTCTCTTCACTGCCTCACCTCCCTTCCTTCCGTGCTGACTCACTTCACTCCCCCTGACTTCGGGGCCTCCTTTACCTGCTGAACTAGATGGAACCTCCACCTGGGTGCTAGTGGTGACTGCTCGTATCAGCAGCACTAGCACTGGCAGGAGGGATGCGTTTAAAAAAAAAAAAAAGTATGATTGGGAAGGAGGGAAATCACAGGCGTACTATCCAAGTCCAATCACAGTAAACAGATGATAAGCCTTAGTGTATGCAGCCGTAGTGTATACAGGATGCTTCGGATAAAACAAGAGGATTTGCTAAAGAAAAAAGAGATTATCTTTTTTTTTTTTTTTTTTTTTTTTTTTTTCCCGAAAGAAAGGGATGATCTTCATACATTAGCTGAATCAGATCGTAGTTTTTTTTTTTTTTTTTTTTTTTTCTGATTATGAAGTTTGTGGTAAATAGAGAATGTACACAATGTATATAAATCACCACCAATCAAGTCCGAGTACACAGAGTCTCGGCAGAGTCTGAACCCTTCCTGGCTGCTGAGGGGTAGTGTCATTTTGTCGTATTATAGTCTCAAACTTGCAGTTTCCTATTTTGTCCATCCAGGTGATCGTCTCTTTTTCCCCCTTTCCTTTGTCCTTTTTGTCCCTTTCCTTTACCGGTATATATTTGTTGCTTGCTTGGTGAGTAGGTGATGTTCTGCTTTGTCTGTTTTATTTGCCCCCCCCCCCTCTTTTGTCGTATTATAGTCTCAAACTTGCAGTTTCCTATTTTGTCCATCCAGGTGATCGTCTCTTTTTCCCCCTTTCCTTTTTGTCCTTTTTGTCCCTTTCCTTTACCGGTATATATTTGTTGCTTGCTGGGTGAGTAGGTGATGTTCTGCTTTGTCTGTTTTATTTGCCCCCCCCCC